GTTCTGCTGTGCATGGGGTCGCTATGAGTCGGAAACGACTCGACGGCACTTAACAACAACAACAACAGGTGGAAGATGACATTTAGAAGTTATGACCACATAGCTTCTAAATAAAAATGATCAGTTTTAAGTTTTCTGAGTGTTCTTATTTTTGCTTCTCCAGGATCAAGGGGGTTTGGGCATTGCTATCAGTGAAGAAGATACACTCATGGGAGTCGTCATAAAGAGTCTAACAGAGCAGGGTGTGGCAGCCAAGGTGAGGCCTTACCATTCCCACTGTCACAAAGTGATGGAAAAGGGAATTTCTTGTGGAAAATTACTCTAAATCTTCCATTTTCCATTTAGGATGGACGGCTCAAAGTTGGAAATCAGATCTTGGCTGTAGATGATGAAGTTGTTGTTGGTTATCCTGTTGAAAAGGTACTTTTTCCAAAGATAGCTAATGGTCCTGTGAACACATTCTTGGGCCTGGCTGGGGTGTGGGGGGGGGGGCTTTGTGGTAATTACGCAAAGGGTAGGAGAATCATAGCTGCAGACCTATCTTAGACACACATCCTTAAGGAAAAGAAAAAATTATTTAGAAGTTTTTCAATTTCTGGTTTTTTTTTTAATAATCAAAATAATGCTAAAGTTTTTTTTTTGATCTGATAAATTTTCAGATAAATAGCATTTTCATGTTCCCTTAGAAAAACTTGAAACTACTAGACAAAGGTTTAGTGTTAGGGCCAAAGAAATTTAAAAAAAAAAAAAAAAGTCTACGCCCATAAATATCAACTATACATAATGCTTTATAAACACATCATTAAATGTATAATTTTATTGGAGTTAACAGTTCTTTGTAGCTGAGTTTCCTTCTCCTTAAAAATGATCGTAATATTTACAAGAAATCCCATGTGAGACCTTCCCTATGTGGTTCCAGAAAAAGCTTTGTCTCTCCTGAGAGTAACTTTCTTTCCTTGCTTATGTTGAAGGAGTATCAAGTAATTGACCTTGTTTCCATTTCTACATTGGCCAGCAAGAAGCTCAATGTGGATTTTTTTATTTAGTTTCAGTAACATATAGATCATATCTTTTAACCCATATACTTATGTTTTAACTTTCCACTTGGCTTCATTTTCTCTTAATACCTAATGCTTTTAGCATATGTGTTTCCATTTTATTAAAAGTGTTTCTTTAAGTGGCTTCTGCTTCTCAGCACATGGGTAAAATATCCTATTTATCTTGTAAGGCTGTAGGGAGAGGACAGAATAAATTAGACCTATAAAAAGATGAAATATCTATACTTATATAAGGAAGAATCTGGTCAGAACTAGACTTACAGTAGAAATTAACAACAGCCTTAATCTATACCAGCCAATGAAAGAAAACTAGAGAACCATTCCTTTCTTGACTCTTCAAATCCTGTCAAGGAAATAGAATTTTTCTGTCATTTGTGACAAACCTAAATAAAATTAGATTACAAGTGTAACTGTAACTTATTTGTTTAAGTCTACTAATTTGCCTTTACATCTTGTTTTTCTCCACACCAACATTTTGCCAGTTTATTAGCCTTCTGAAGACAACAAAGACCACAGTGAAACTTACCATTCATGCTGAGAACCCAGATCCCCAGACTATTCCTTCAGCAGCTGGTACAGCGAATGGGGAGAAAAAGAACAGCTCCCAGTCTCCGATGCTCCCACCTTCTAGCTCCCCAGAACCAGAGCCTCTTCGAAGTAAGGGCTGGTCACCTGTAAGCCCTATGCACGTGGCGCTTTTGCTCGCTGCAGAGGGTCCCAGCCTGGGAGCCCACTGCCTGCCTGCCTGTAGCTCACTCTCTCAAAGAATAGATATGGATATGAGAGCCTTTGGTGACAGAATGGTATGAACAGAGTGGTTCCTGCAGAAAGAGCATAGGGCTATGAGGCAGGCAATATGTGGCCTTTGCATTAAGCCACCAGGGGTCCATCAGAAAAACCCAGCCACCCTCCCACCCACTCTGAGCCTTAGCTTCTTCATCCCTAAAAGAAGGGGGGATGGTACGTGTTTTGCTCTCCAAGGATCTTTAGCTGAGGGATTCTGTCATTCCAGGTGTCTGAGTAATGAATTAGAAGTATCATTTTGTACATTCCTTTTTAATAATGTACAAGTGATTTAACTTCTCTAAGCCTCAGTTTTCTAATATGTAAAAATGGGCGCATATGTTCTGCTTCACAGGTAGGATCAACGGTGCTTAATACTGAAAAAAAAAAAAAACACTTTAAAATGCTAATCATTACCACAGCATGGGAAGCCCTAGCGGCCCAATACACTAAGCGGTGGTTTGAATCCACCAAGTGGATCTGTGGGAGAAAAGACTTAGTGATCTGTTCCCATAAAGATTACAACATAGAAAACTCTATAGGGTAATTCTGCTGTCATGTGGGGTCGCTGTGAGTCAAAAACAACAGCACTCAACAATGACAACTGCAGTGTGTATCGTTAAATGTGAGTTCTGTGGTTTGGGTGTAACAATAGCTGTGAAAATAGAAGGAATTGGTATACAGGAACCCTGTTTTGATACTTCAGGGTCTCATTAAAATGCCAATCTAATGCATTATTCCTTTGAATTACTTTTCCAGAAAAAAATTATGCTAGTGTTTAACAAAATAATAAATTTCAATTTTGGTAGCATCAAGAAAAAAAAGTCTTCAAAACAATAGAGTTTTCTGCAACTTGGGAAAAAGAAACTTCTTTCGGCCTCCAAACTATGAAATACTCAGTTCTTTTGACATATTTTTAAGGAAACAGTTTAAAACATTTACAATATAGTTATACCAAAAAAAATGTTAATCTAATACATACCTGATTAAAGTAATTTTTTTATTTAGAGACACTGGATAATTCACTCAAGTGTTGAAAGATTTTATGGAAATTTTCTCAGTCTTAGGTTTTATGTTGATCCCCAAATAGCATTGTCTATAAAAATATGAAATGCTAAATAAAAATGTAACATAAAAGAAAATATTGTGCACCTGTTCTTACCATTTCAGGAAGAGGGAAATAGTCTGTGTCTGATTTCCTAAAAAGAGAATATTTTTTCTAAAGCACAAGATATTTTACCAATATACCTAAACCCAAACCATCATAGCCAGCTGTCCTGAAACATGCTGTATGGTATATGTTATTTGGTGTATCATCAAACACAGAACATGAACACTATTGTAAAACAAGCTGTGAAATTATATTCTCCTTGTTCTATCATCTCTACTCAAACCTGAGCAAATATGCACCAGGATTTAAAATTTGAGTTTATAAAATATCAAGTGAGACCCAAGGAAAGAATTGGTAAGTTGGCCTCACTTGAAGTTTTATAAACTCGGCTGTTATCCAAAACCCACTGCCATCAAGTCAATTCCAACTCAGAGTAGCCCCTATTGGGTTTCCAAGGCAATAAATCTTTACAGAAGTAGATAGCCTCAACTTCCTTCCATGGAGTGGCTTGTAAGTTTGAATCACCAACCTTCTGGTTAGCAGTCAAGTGCCTTAGACACTGTGCCACCACAGCTCCTTTGGCTGTTACATACAGATGCGTATAGGTTCAGATTTGAGTAGCTAGAAATAGATGCTTTAGGAGAAGAAAAGAAAATAGAAAACAAAAAAATCAAAATTAAACCGTAAAAAGCCCTGAAAGGAAGCATGAGCAGAATCACTGAGGTGGACTGGAGTATGTGGTCTTCCCTGCCTGGACTTCCAGGTCTCTGGTACACATTTCAGCTCTCAGTTTTACAAATCATAATTTTATAAGATGTTGTGCTTGGCATCAGTGAAATGTCAGCTGTCAAAGTGAAGCTAGAGGTTCAGTTCAACTCTGCTCTACTTCCTTTATACATTTTTTTCTAGCAATGAGAAAAGTATAAAATAATATTAACAAGAAATGTTGTACCTACCACCCTAAACTAACAATGATGACTTAATCATAGTTATTTGACTTTTTAAATATAAAATAACTAAAAGATTACAGGTTAATTTGAAGTATCCTCTGTCCCTGCTCTTGGGTCCATTTTGCTATTCCACACTCTAAAGACAACCAGTGTGGTGAGTTTGATATATCTCTCTTCTAGTCAATTTTCATTTGTTTTTATTTTTTAAACTTATTTTAGGTACAAGCAGATCATCCACACCTGCAGTCTTTGCCTGTGATCCTGCAACCTGCCCCATCATTCCTGGCTGTGAAACCACTATTGAGATTTCCAAAGGGCGGACTGGGCTGGGCCTGAGCATCGTTGGTGGGTCAGACACACTGTTGGTGAGTGCAACTCAGTCTTGCTCCAGATACAAAAGCAGCCCATCAGCCTAGGGGCTCTTATCTGGGATATTTTCATCAATTTTATTTTATTAAGTGGCATATAAAGATTTAGAAAAATATAACACTCAATGTTACTTTAATTTGTTGTTGTTGTTATGTACCGTTGAGTCGGACCTGAATCATAGCAACCCCTCCTTAGGTTTCCGAGGCAGTATCACCATGGAAGTAGAGTGCCTCATCTTCCTTCCGAGAAGTGGCTGGTGGATTGAACCGCCAGCCTTCTGGTTAGCAGTCAAGTGCCTTAGGCACTATGCTACCAGAGCTCCCTACTTTAATTTAGTAGCATAAATATTAAATTAGGTATTGCAATTTTTACTTGAGTAAACCAATACAGACTCAAGTTGTGATTGTGACATTTAGGTTTCAGAATGCTTCTCTTGGGTCACTAGTCCTTGCTGTCTTTTAATTTCCTTTTCTACTCACTGGTTATGATTGGGTTAGACCTGTAGTAAGAAGAGTCTGAAAAAATAGATAATTTATAGACAGAATTTCCAATATCCTAAAATTTTTTTTAAAATCTAATAATTTCATTTGCATTGATATAACCACTGTGGAAAGCAGTATGGTGATTCCTTTAAAAACTGGAATTAGAAATATCATTTGACCCAGCAATCCCATTACTAGGTATATATCCTAAAGAAGTGAGAGCCAGGACAAGAACAGATATGTGCACGTCTATGTTCATCGCAGCAGTATTTACAATAGGAAAGAGATGGAAACAACCTAGGTGCCCATCAACAGAAGAATGGATAACCAAACTATGGTACATGCATACAATGGAATACTATGCAACACTAAAGAATAATGTAGAATCTGCACAACACTGCGTAACATGGATGAATTTGGAGGACATTATGCTGAGTGAAATAAATCAATCACAGAAGGACAAATATAGTATTAGTTCATTACTATAAAAAGTCAAGGAAAGGTTTATATATGGAAGGAAAATTTCTTTGGTTACCCGAGGTGGGAAGGCAGAGAAAGGAACACTGTTTAAAAAAAAAAAAAAAGCATTGACCCATGTCACTTTAGTTTTGTATATTTCACTGTACATAAATTATATTTCAATAAAATGTATTTTTTTAAAAAATCTAATAATTTCATTTGTAGATTGCTGTTATTGTTAAGTACTGTAGAGTCCATTCCAACTGATAGTGATCCTCTTTACCATAGAGTAAAACACTGTGCTTGAGCCTATCATTGCAGTCACTGTGTGAATCCATCTCATTAAGGGTCTTCCTCTCTTTCACTGATTCTCTGCCAAGTATGATATCCCTCACCAGGGACTGGTGCCTTCTGTCAACATGACCAAAGTACAAGGTACAAAGTCTGGCCATTCTCACTTCTAAGGAGCATCTAGCTGTACTTCCAAAACAAATTTTTTTTCATTCTTCTGGCAGTCCATGATATTCTCAGTTTTCTTTACCAGTACCACAATTCAAATGCATCAGTTCTTCTTTGGTCTTCTTTATTCATTGTCCAGCTCTCCTAAGCATATGAGGCTATTGAAGATACCACAGCCTGGGTCAGGCACACCTTACTCTTCAAAGTAACATCTTTGATCTTTAACACTTTAAAGAGGTCATTTGCAGCAGATTTGCCTAGTGCAATATGTTATCTGATTTCTTGACTGCTGCTTTATTTGTAGATAGGAGAGGTGATGTATACATGTATGTCATACATATATGTGCCATCAGAAGGGAACTGAAAGTTTAAAGGAAGGGGCTAGGGTTGTTTCATTAATGGACATATATTCAATACCTAATTTATTTAATATATATATATATACATACAATAAATTTTTTAATTTATTTTAGAGGTGACATATATTTAGAAAACAAAGTGTAAGTGTCTGAGCCTTCTAGCAAAAACTGTATTGTTAGTTATACTTTTAATTTTTGGTGTGTGCCTTACATATAAATGTGGATGATACATAACTTACTGTGTATGACTATAGAAGTGCAGTATGTTTGATGCCATTTCTGCTCACCATTCCTAAGGGTGATGAGACAAAGCATGGCTATGTTTTGTTTTGGCTCTTAGGGTGCCATTATTATCCATGAAGTTTATGAAGAAGGAGCAGCATGTAAAGATGGAAGACTCTGGGCTGGAGATCAGATTTTAGAGGTACAGAATGCTGTGTATTTGACCTTTACAAGTGCCAAACAAAAGCCCATTCTCTGGACGTTTTTTCTTTCTTTCTTTCTTTCTTTCTCCCTTCTTCTCTCCCTTTCTTCTTTCCTTCCTCCCTCCTTTTCTTCGTTCCTTCCTTTTGTTTTTCATTAGCACTTCACTTCCCTCACCTGGCTCCTCCCATTTTATAAGGTGAATGGAATTGACTTGAGAAAGGCCACACATGATGAAGCAATAAATGTCCTGAGACAGACTCCACAAAGGGTGCGCCTGACGCTCTACAGAGATGAGACTCCCTACAAAGAGGAGGACGTGTATGACACCCTCACCATTGAGCTGCAGAAGAAGCCAGGAAAAGGCCTGGGATTAAGTATTGTTGGTAAAAGGTATGAAATTAGATGTTGACCTTTTGGAAATGACTGAGCTTATCTTCTTTTAAAGAGCGATAGCAGCCAAAAACAAACCAAACCCACTGCCGTAGAGTCGTATCCAACTCGTAGTGACCCCTCTTTGGGTTTCCAAGGCAGTATCACTACGGGAGTAGATTGCCCAACCTTCCTTCTGAGGAGTGGCTGGTGGGTCTGAACCACCAGCCTTCTGGTTAGCAGTCAAATGCCTTAGGCACTACACTATAGAGCCTTTATCAGCTGCTAGTGTTTTGTAGGTAGCTGTACTCAACCTATTTGGTAAGAGTATCAAAAGGTATTGGTTTTGACCATCTGAAATCAGTATTTTGGGAGATTTTGTAGGTACTCAACAATTTACAACAAAAAGTCACTTGATAGTTTTTGAATACCTGCTGTATACACCCAGAAATAAATCATATTCTGAGGAATAAGTTTTAAGAAGACATGATCCCTGACTTCAAAAAACTCATGAGTCTGGCGAGTTAGAAATAAATATATGCTTGCAACAAAGCACTGTAGTTAAGTTGAGTGACAGAGATGCATTGTAGGAACCATGGGAGCCAACAAGGAAGAAAGAGAACCAGCTAGCCCCTATTGAAGAGAAGTGCATTTAGGGAAAAACATCCTGAGCTGAGACTGAAAGTGATCATTTAGTCTCTTAAAGGGGCTTGAGGATAGGCCTGGAAGAAGGGTCACAATGAGCTAGAAAAGCCATGATGGAAGCCAAGAGCATGCCATCAGAAGGAACTGAAAGCATAAAGGAAGGAGCTGGGGTGTTTCATTAATGGACATATATTCAGCACCTAATTTATTTAAGTGCTCACATTTAAGTAAAATTAACAAATATATAATCCAGTGAGCCTCCTAAATATTTCTTTCTCTTCATATTATAAGCCCATCTGGATCTAAGCCTCAAAATAGATAATTAAGCAAATAAAGTCATTTCATTCTCTGATCTCCTTTCAGTGGAAAGCTTCTGGATCATCTATAACAGCCCTGAGTTAAAATCACCATCCTTCAGACCTCAGATGCCCACAACTGCAAAGCAGCTTATTGTTTTCCAGCTTCTTAAAAAAAAAAATCCAGAGAATTGTGACTTTTATATCAGAATATCATTCTTTGGAAATAATCATTCTTTAGACTGCCCAAATGAATACCCTTCTCAGCCTGTTCTGCTGTGAGGTTTCTAATTGCCAGTAAAAGGACATTGACACCAGTGTGTATCAGAAAGAATTAGACTACTGGAAAAAAAAAAAAAAAAAAGCCTCCAGAATGTAGGAATATTGTTTAAATCTCAGTGGGAATATATCTGAAAAACTAAATACTTCTTAAATACTTCTTTTGGAATACAGTATCAAAAGGTTGGTTATTGTGCAATATGAGTCAATTAAAATTTATTTGAATACCCAAATACATTAATATATGGAGTCACCAGGTTGCAATAAGATATTTCTTTTGTGGATCCTGAATTATTTACCTTGGGGAGAGCATACAAATACTGTTGAATCCAACACTCTTATTCTAAAATTGAGAAGCACAGCATCAAAATGGTAAAATGGTAAGTCTGAGGTCATGACTGTAGCAAGAACAAGTGATATGTTTCTGTCTTCACTAAACATTTTTACCTTTGGTAATCTTTGTATCTTAACAAGAAGTTTTGGGTTTTCTAACAATTTTAGGAAAGAAAGAATTGGAAACAATACTGTTTATGCATTTTGTGTAAATCTATCTTGTATTAAAGGTAGATCCATAATGACTTAAATATTTAAAGAAAATAAAAGACAGAGTATAACTGTCCCATAGGATTTCCTAGGCTGTAAATCTTCACAGAAGCAGACTGCCACATCTTTCTCCCAGTGAGCTGCTGGTGAATTCGAATTGCCCACCTTCAGTTAGCAGCTGAGCCACCAGGGGCTCCTTAGAGCCCTAGGATTTTTTTTTCTTCATCTAATTATCATTTGATTTTTTTTTTAAAGCCATCACGGAAGTGACATTTAAAGGATAACCAGTGGCTTTAGTTGATACGTTATTGTGTATTGTTTAGTTGATCTGGACACATGACAACCTTATAGGACACACTAGCACTGCCACATAAGTTTTTCTTCACAGGAAGCAGATTGCCAGGTCTTTTCTCCTATAGAGTGGCTGTTGGGTTCAAACTATCAACCTTTCAGTTATTAGCAAAACACTTAACCATTGTGCCACAGAGGATCCTTTAGTTGAGATATCCATCAGTTATTTTCAAAAATATTAATAATAATAACAACAGCATGTTTGTGTGGCCACAGGTTAGAACTCATTCAAGGCTTCTTCACAGTACGGAAAGAACAACTGACTGACTCTGTGATGCATTTCTGCCATTTACTAAATGGATGACCCCTAAAATGAGACTAGTACCCACTTTCAATTACAGTATGAAATTATTGGAGAACGGATATGCTCATGAAGCATCTATTTAATCTATGGAAAACAATAAAACATAAGCTATTACTTATCACAAAAAATAATTATAATAATGTTGCCTCAATATTGCTTAAAAAAATAAAACTTTTAAAGTCATAAATATAGAACTAAAATTTTCCATTAAAACATTTCCATTAAAAATGTTAGCTTTTTAATTAAATAGCAATGCTTATTTAATGAAAAAAATAATGTTGAAATTCAAAATTGTGTTTGCAGAAATGATACTGGAGTATTTGTATCAGATATTGTCAAAGGGGGAATTGCAGATGTTGACAGAAGGCTGATGCAAGGAGACCAGATACTGGTGGTCAATGGAGAAGATGTCCGGAATGCCACCCAGGAAGCAGTTGCTGCTTTGCTAAAGGTAAAAATCAAATGCCAAAAATAATTTTGTGTAATAGTATGTAAGGAGAATGAGACTTGAACATCGAGCTGTCATAGTCAAAATGAGTACTAACTTCTCTTTATTTAAAATGTCATCTCTAGACATATAAGATACTGTATTTCAGTGACAAATTTCTAAGTAGTATTATTTTGTTCTATATTTAGTTAGTGACAGTAAGAATTATGAACTAAGTGTTTGTGATATTAGTAAATGTTTTGTCATTAAGGAGAGTATTGTATGGATCTTCTTCTTCAAAGTAAGGCCCATATCCAGACCACAAAGCAGAAAAAGGAATGCTATCATCAGTCTTCCATATTTCTTCTGGATTCGTGTGTAAGATTTATGGAGTAAGTGAATGCTGTCATATCTGGCACAGTTGGTCTTTGAAAAATAACTTTCAAAAATGTTCCATGTGGGAAATCAAAGCTAAGTAGGGTACCCAGGGTACTTCTGGAGTTCATACTTTTTGGCCTTTGTTATTCCCAACTTCCTTTCCTTGACCCTTTTCTGAAAATATTAGAATGAATGTCTTCATATTTCTTCTTAGGAGAGCTAATGGTATAGTGCCTAAGGCATTTGACTGCTAACCAAGGAGGCTGGCGGTTCAAACCCACCAGCTGCTGTGCTGAGGGAAGATGGAGTAAGCTACTTCTGTAAAGATTGACTGCCTTGGAAACACATTTCTTCTAGAGGTGAAGAACGTGCAGAAAATATTTTACCCTTTATAACTCATGAAAAGAAACAAAATATAATTTATTTCTATTGTATTGGCTTCCTAAAAAATAAAAAAAAAACTCACTGCCATAGAGTCGAATCTGATTCACAGTGACCCCGCCTTGGGTTTCTGAGGCGATATCACTACAGCAGTAGATTGCCCAAACATCCTTCTGAGAAGTGGCTGGTGGATTTGAACCACCAGCCTTTTGGTTAACAGTCAAATGTCTTAGGCACAATGCCAGGAGAGCTTTTGTCCAAATCTTAGATTCTGACTTAAAACTGTTCAACTATTTAAATTTGACATTTAAAATCATTGTTGGATGGGTCATCCTTATGACATGAAAATGAAAGTAATTTAATGCAGTTTCACCTGGCAGCACCTTCACCAGGAAATATTTCAACAATTATAGGTCTCATTCCTGGGTATCATTCTAGACTGAAATTTGTTTCCTTCAAAGGAAATTCTTCATGAAGGATAATTTTCTGATTAGAAAGGCAAAACCTGTCTCATTTAAAAAAATAAATTTTAGGGGAGTTCCGGCAAGATGGCGGACTAGGCACAAGGACTGCAGAGACGCTCTTCAACAAAGAAAAGGGAAACCAATTAACACAGACACAGAAGATAATCTTGGACCCCTGAGCCTTGAAGGGAAGGATACATAAGTGGACTAAACCCCAACTAGCAGAAGAATTTGCATGAAAATACCAAAAAAGGAGACACACGGAGCTGCGGTCTAGCAGTGGACTGAGCGACCCTAACAGCACAGACGACACGGCTTGGAGATTCCCGAGTGGTGGTAGGACCTATGAATTAACCCAAAAATCAGCCTACTAGCCAGGGACTGCACGAAAGACGGTGCACTGTGGCTGGGGAACAAACGGAGAAAGTGAAGAGAAAGGTGGGCTGAATTGTGGACTTTTGCCGGTCCGGAGGATGCTGCCATTTTGTAGGTTTAAAAAGCGGCTTGGCTATTTTGGATATTTAAAGAGACAGCGCTCTCGCAGATTCCTGTGATGGTAGGACTTAAGAAATAACCTAAAAATCACCCTACTAGCCAGGGACTGCACTGAGGACTGTTCACTGTGGCTGGGGAAC